TTTATGATCTAGCAGTTATACTCTGGATATTTACCCAAAGGAGATGAAATGACTGTATCATCAAATTGTTATCCACACTCCTGTGTTCATTACAGAAATATTCACAATAGCTGATATGGAAGCAATCTAAATATCCATCAATGGATGAAGAGATAAATATATATCATAAAATGTAATATTTTCTTGCTGTAAAAAAAAAAAGTAAACCCATTCATTTGAGATAACAGCAGCAGATTTACCTTGAAGGCATTATGTTAAGGGAAATTAGTCAGAAAAAGAAATACTGAATGGTTCCACTTATGAGCAATCTAAAAAAGTTGAATTCATAGAAACTGAGAGTAGGTTAGTTGTTGTCCAGGACTGAGGGGTCGGAGGATATGAGATATTAATTGTAACTATAAATTTTCAGTTTCAAGAGGAATAAATTCTGGTGATGTAATGTACAGCATAGTGAATATAGCTAACACTGCTGCCACTGCTGCTAAGTCACTTCAGTCATGTCAGACCCTGTGACCCCATAGACGGCAGCCCATCAGGCTCCCCCGTCCCTGGGATTCTCAAGGCAAGAACACTGGAGTGGGTTGCCATTTCATTCTCCAATGTGTGAAAGTGAAAAGTGAAAGTGAAGTCGCTCAGTTGTGTCCGACTCTTAGCGACCCGATGGACTGCAGCCTACCAGGCTCCTTCGTCCATGGGATTTTTCAGGCAAGAGTACTGGAGTGGGGTACCATTGCCTTTTCCAATAGCTAACACTACTGTATTTTATATTGAAAGTTGCTAATAGAATAGATCTTAAATATTCTCACCACTACAACCACAAAGTCATCATTATGTGAGAAGATGAATGTGATAGCCAACATTATGGTCAATATTTCTCAATATATACTTGAATCAAATGGTACACCTTCATATGGTACACCTTAAACTTAGAGTGTTATGTCAATTTTTCTTAGTCAAGCTGGGGAAAAAATGGCTAAAACAAGTTAAACTTCCCACCTTAAGAAATTAAAAAAGAAAGCAAGCTAAATCCAAAGCAAGCAGAATGAACTAAATGATAAAGATTAGAGGGAAAGAGAGAATTGAAAAATACAGAAAAGCAAGACAAGTAGTTTTTTTTTTTTTGATAATCAAAATTGACAGACCTTTAGCTCAACTGACCAAGAATAAAAGAGAAGACTTTAGTTACTACTATCAGGAATGAAACTGGACATTACTACCAAACTTTCCCAATGAAAACCAAATTTAGGGGGATAGTATGACCAACTGTATGCCAATAAATTAGGTAACAAATGGGCACATTGTGAACAAGGTACAAAATACCAAAACAGATTCAAAAATGAAATCTGAACAGTCTAATAAAAAGTAAAAACACTGATTAGTGATCAAGACAGCTTTCCACAAAGACTATCCTATATCCAAGTGGCTTCATTTTTTCTGCCAAATGTTTAAAGAATACTAATTCTTCAAACTATTCAAAAAATAGAAGAGGGTACACTTACCAACTTAAGAGGCTAGTTTTATCCTGATACCAGAATTAGACAAAGTATCAGAAGAAATACAGATGAGTGGCTGCTGTGGAGTAGGAAATGGCAACCCATGACAGTATTATTGTTGGGGAATTCCATGGACAGAGGAGCCTGGCAGGCTGCAGTCCATGGGGTCTCAGAGTCGGACACAACTGAGTACACGCTAGAGGAACAAATGCATAGTCATATTGGCAGATGTAGAAAAAGGAACTTGCTCCAACATCAATTTATGATAAAAAAAACAACACTTAAACCAGGAACAGACTGTATCTTGCTTATCCTAATAGAGGGAATCAATGATAAACCCACAGCTAACATTATACTTAGTGATGAAAGAACTAAAGGTTTCCCTCTAAAAATAAGACAACCACTCTCAACACTTCTATTCATCATTGCACTGGAGGTTCCAGCCAGGGTAATCAGGCAAAAAGAAAAAGAAAATAGCCCAGTTATATTCAAAGGAAAGATATTGAGCTTTATTTGCAGAAAACATGATCTTACATATAGAAAACTATAGAATCCACACATATTAAGAAACTTTTAGAATAAGTTCAGCAAGGTTGCAGAGTACATGACTAATAAGCAACAAAATCATTTGTATTTCTCTATACCAGTTGTTACTGGATGAACTGTATGCCCTCCAAATTCATATGTTGAAATCCTAATACACAGTACCTCAGAATTTGGAGATCAGTTCTTTAAAAAGGGTATTATATTATCATGAGGCTGTCAGTGAAGGCGCTAATCCAGTCTGAATGGTGTCCTTATAAGAGAAAGTGTGGACATAAAGACTTACACAAAGAGACTTCAGGGAAGCACTTGCACAGAGCCAAGATTATGTGAGGACACTTAGAGAAGGTAGTTGTTTGCAAACCAAGGAGAGAGGCCTCAGAAGAAACCAAACCTGCTGACACTTTGATCAGTTTCCAAAACAGAAAATTTATGTTAAGCTACCCAGAGCGTGGCATTGTTTTGGCAGCCATAGCTAACTAATATGCTAGCCATGAACAATTCAGAAGTGAAACTAAGAAAATTTCATTTATAATAGCATGAAAAAGCACTTAGGAATAAATATAACAACAGAAGTACAAGTCTAGTACACTGAAAACTCCCATCTTGAAAGAAATTAAAGACCTCGATAAATGGAAAGACATTCCATACAAATGAATTGCAAGATTTCTTATTGTTACCATGGCAAAAGTCTCCCAAGTTAATCTACAGAGTAAGTTTAATCCCTATCAAAATTCCAACTACTATTTTTGCCCAGTAACCAGAATAGCTTGGTACTAGCACTAGGATGCACATATAGGTTAATGGATAGAACTTAGAGTTCAAAAATAAACCAGTCTATGACCAAATGATTTTCAGCAACGATGCCATTTCATTCAGTGAGAAAATAATTTTGTCAACAATTACCCAGACAGTTGTATAGCCACATACAGAGAAATAATTTTGGTCCCTTTCCTCATACTGAATACAAATATTGAAACGAGATGAATTAGAAACCTTAAAAAAAAAATAGGAGCTAAAATTATAAAACTCTTAGAAAACAGATGCATAAATCTTTGTGACTTTGAATTAGACTTGGGTTTTGTATACATGGTACCTAAAGCAGAAACAATGAAATATATTTAAATTGATTTTAAATTAGATTTTTTTTAAAGTTGTGCATATAAAGACACTATCAAGAAAGTGAAAAGGCAATTCACACAATGGGAGAAAATGTTTGCAATTCGTATATCTTGACAAGAGCCTAGTGTTCAGAATATATGAAGAACATTTACATCTCAAAAATGAAAAATACCAACCCAATTAAAAAGGAGTTCCCTCATAGCTCAGTTGGTAAAGAATCTGCCTGCAATGCAGGCAACCCAGGTTCAAGTCCTGGGTTGGGAAGGAAATGGTAACCCATTCCAGTAGTCTTGTCTGGGAAATCCCATGGACAGAGGAGCCTGGTGGGCTACAGTCCATGGGATCGCAAGAGTCAGACACAACTTAGCAACTAAACCACCAATTAAAAAAGAGCAAAAGAGTGTGGACAGAGAGTTCTTCAGAGAAGATATACAAATGCCCAGTAAGCAACTGAAAAGATGTTTAATATCAGTAGTCAGTAGGGAAATATAAATCAAAACCATAATGGGATACCACTTCATACCAACCAGGATTGCTATAAGTATTTTTTTTTTTTAATGAGAAATAACAAGTGTCAGTGAAGAGGACAAGAATTTGAGACCCTCATACATTGCTGAGAATTTTAAAAGATATAGCCACTATGGAAGACAGTTGGTCATTTCCTCACAAAGTTAAAAATACTCAATGTATCATCCATGTATCCACATATATTGTACATGATGTCACAGCATCATTAGTCATAATAGCACCAAAGTGGGAACTATTCAAATGTCCATTAGGTGAATATATATAAAGTAGTATATCCACTCATTGGAATATTATTTGGCAATTAAAAGAAATACAGTGTTGATACATGCAACAGCATGGATAAACTTTGAAAACACAGTAAATGAAAGAAGTCAGACCCAGAATCACATATTGTCTGATTTGGTTCATGTGAGGGATACAGAACAGGCAAATACATAGAGTCGCAAAGTAGATTAGTGGTTGTCAGATGCTGGTCCTGGTCCGGGGGAGGACGATGGGAAGTAACTATTACTATGAGGTTTTTGGAGTGATGGATATGGTTCTGGAAGTAGAAAATCCACTGTATACTTTAAATGAGTGAGTCTAGAGCTAAGTATATTAATTAAATTATACATCAATAAAAAACTCAAGTGGTGAAGATGCAAAGGAGGAAATTTAGAGAAAAGGAAAACAAGATGAATGCAAGGTGAGAAATGGAAATGCAGGAGAAGCCTTCAAGGCTGAATATTGGTCATGTGGTGGTTTGTGCGCAGAGCACTTCAACAGTGAACACAAGGCCCACAATCTGTGCTAGGAGTAAGACTTTCCACCAGGGGTTTGCAGAAGCACAGCTTCTGCTGGGTCCCACACTTAGAAAACGTATTTCTTGAGGTTCAGAAAAGCCTGAGTTGACAATGTCCACAACAAATCAGCATTTTCAGAACTTTTCTGAGTGTTTCCTCTTAGGCATTATGCAGCATATTCCTTAACATATTTCATTTATTAATTCACTAAGTGCTTGCTGAGTACTTGCCCATTTTCCTTTTTAGCAAAATGCAGGAGTTGAATTTATCTTTGCAAATAACTGAGGAATAAAGACTATGTTGCTAGTACTCATTGTTGCTACATGAAAAGAAATGTCAGGTAATACCCTTACCCTTTTCAGGGGTTGCTGGGTAGCACCCTGCAGGCCTGTAAGCCTTGTAGTGACCCAGCCCCAGAAATGAAGAAAGAACCTGAAAATGGCACCAGAGTTAATGACACTGGATAGGGGATCTTAGATGTCTGAAATAGAGAGTCCTGGAGCAACACCTCACTGTATAGGGCAGACGGGACATGGCAGCCATATTCGCTACTCGGCAGAGAAGGCAGCTACCATTTATAGGGGGAATCGACATCAGGTTGGTTCATCAGTTACCAGGGAAACCAGCAGCCTGGGCTTGCAGTACCCACAGCCAATGTCAAGTAGACTGGAGAGAGAGAATAACAGACCACAGGTTAATATAATGGTGCTTTTCTCCATTAACGGGGCCAGATTACTTACCTTCAGTGAGTCCATAGAAAAGACAGGTGAAAACTGCAAGTGCCTTTCTAATTCTATTCCACACACAGGGTAGCAAACCCAAATTATTGAGGATTTACTTGCTAGTCCCAGGGTCACTTTTATGTTCCTCAGGGTGTAGATTCTATGGTGAGGGCAAAAGCGAGTTACTCTCCTGACCTATAACTGGCAGTCATCTTTTGGTGTCAGCAGTTGAATTCTGATGGTGTTGAGTCTCTCACTTAACATGGTGTAGGCACTGAGATGATTGCTCCTGGAATGTTCGGTTTTATAGTTCCTCGGGCTTGAGTTAGCCTCCTGGCCCACAAGTTGAGAGAGCAGGGTTGTAGGGCAGGAGAAAATGCCAGCATATGTCATTTTCATAGACCTATCCCTGTGCTTTGGGGCAGGTGACGTGAGTTCCTTGGTCACTATGTCCATGGGGTCCCGTGTGTTGTGCACAGCTCTTCTATACCCTGAATAGTGGGTTTTCGTATTACTCGGTGATTCACGTAGGCCTTCTCTAATTTTTCCTTCTGCCTGTTGTAACGCATTGCATACTGCATGTAACTGTTGTTCCTTCACACTGTATCATTGCTTTGCTGCTTTCCATAGCTGTGACAAGAAAGGGTACACTCATTTTGCCATTGTCCCAGCCCTTAGCCAAACCCGGGTACCTGCCCATGGCTAACTCCCAAATCTGCTCCTGAGTTACTGTCCTTAAAGCTTGTGTCCGTAACAGCTTAGGGGCGGTGGGTCAGGGGTGTGCTTCATTTTGTGAATAATCTGTGACCTTGTTTTGTCTGTATTCACCAGTCATCCCTGTGTAGTCAGGGCGAACCACCAGCACAAGACTGCCTACTCTTAAACCTGAACGACTCTGGGATTAACAGGATATTATCAACATAATGGAAGAGAAAGATATCTCTCATGGTAGATAGCTGCCAGAGAGTCCCCCATGCTGGCTGGATGGCCACCTTGGGACTAACCCCACAATTTTCCATTCCCTGTCATTTTTTCCCAACATCTTTGTACTCAAGGGATTTTCCCTGGCATCCCAACTAGCTCACCAGCTGCTGAGTCACACCGGGCAAGCCCGCAAGCCTTGTAGATCACCAGCCTGGACACTGGAGAAAGAGCCCCCAGTGACAGAGACATCCATAATACTGGATAAGGGAGCTTACCTGTATGAAATAGAGGGTCCTGGTGTGACGCCCAACAAGGTACTACAGGCAAGCGACATGGAAGCCATATTTACTACTTAGGGAAGATGGTGACTATTTATAGGGGGAATTGCCCTTATATTGACTGTCAGTCCTGTGCCTGCCCCTTACAGCCCCTGAGGTTAATGAGCATCAGGAGGGCAAATGTTTTCCTCTAATAAATTAGCAGGTGGAGCCTTTCTGGTCTAAGGATTAGAACAGTCACTAGCTGGGGCAGGGGGCAGCCACTTTTGCCTGAGTAGGGTGTAGGCGAAGCAGGGACTGGTTTAGCAGGGGCTGTACAAAGAGGAAGAGAACAGCCATCTTGAGTGGCCTGATCATATATGAGTGTACTAGTCCATTTTAATAATTTGTTTTCTACTATTTTGAACTGCACATTTTTGTACTTTGCAATTTACTGGTCAAAAAACTAGCTTATTAAGATTCAGAAGACAGTATAAACATGTATGCCATTTTAATGCAGTATGTTATTTCATTATGAGTGAGCCAAATATAATTATATTTTAATTTCATCTAAATAGTAAATGTACTATTGACATGAGGATAAAAGGCATTAAGTACTCTTGCATACTTAATGTCCCTAAAAAAAAAAAAGTGCTACTAGCTGTCATGTAATTTTTTAAATGCTTATTTCATTCAAAACACTTTATTCATAAAAATTTTACTTAAGATTATAAAAGAGCAAAAAGCTGAAATATTCAGAAATAGTATAATGAATTCTCAGTTGATTCTGAGAGCAGAAGTCAAACAAGGTGAATAAAAAACAAGGAACTACACTATTGACCCAACAATCCTACTACAGGGCATATACCCTGAGGAAACCAAAGCTGAAAAAGACACATGTACCCCAATGTTCACTGCAGCACTATTTACAATAGCTAGGAAATGGAAGCAACCTAGATGTCTATCAACAGATGAATGGATTAAAAATTTGTGGTGTGATGGAATATTCATATATGTATATTTCATACATACAATGGAATACAATGGAATATTACTTAACCATAAAAAGGAATGTCTTTGAGTCAGTTCTGGTGAGGTGGAGGAATCTAGAGTCTACTACACAGACTGAAGTCAGTCAGAAAGAGAAAAACAAATATCATATATTAACATAGATATATGGAATTTGGAGAGATGGACCTGAAGAACCTTTTCCAGGGCAACAGTGGAGACGCAGACAGAGAAAAGACTTGTGGACTTGGTGGGGATGGAGAGGGTGAGGAAGGAGAGGGTGGGATGAGTCGAGGAAAAAATCAGCCAAGATGAAGAAAGGAATCTTGTAATTGTGTGCTAAAGATAAAAAGACTAGTTTTCTCAAATGAGGAGTGAGAGGAAATGCCTGAGGCCTGGAGGAAAAGGTTGTAATATTAGATTAGTCCTGAATAAAAGGAATCCACTGATAGTAATTTCCCTTTTGGTGTTGTTGTTCAGTCAATCACGTCTGATTCTCTCTGACCCCATGGACTGAAATGCCAGGCTTCGCTGTCTTTCACCATCTCAGAGTTTGCTCAAACTCATGTCTGTTGAGTCAGTGATGCCATCCAACCATCTCCTCCTTTGTTGTTCCCTTCTTCTCCTGCCTTCCTTCTTTCCCAGCATCAGGGTTTTTTACAATGAGTCGGCTCTTTGCATCAGGTGGCCAAAGAATTGGAGCTTCAGCTTCAGCATCAGTCCTTCCAATGAATATTCAGGGTTGATTTCCTTTAGGATGGACTGGTTTGATTTCCTTGCTGTCCATGATAGTAATTGTATAAGGTTTTAACAAATCCTATTAAAACAGACAAAAATTATTTCCTGAAATAACAAAAAATAGGTTCCAATAAATAGAGAGTACCCCACAGCCTGTATTACATCTCAGTTCTTTTCTAAGTGAGCATGATGGTTTCTTGAGTATCCTGTTAGCCAAGTTTCAATTTAGGAAAGATGACAAAGTTGGAGGTGGGATGAGATGGGTAATTGTAATTACCTTCAGGTAGATAGTATTGCACTTGGAATGTGCAGAAATGGCTCTGAAGGTCCGTATACATAAGGGGCTGTGAACAGGACTGAAATCTGTATAGACATTACCTCAGGTGCTAATGAACGCCCAGAGTTCTCTATAATGAATGCCCAGAGTTCTCTGTTGGCGAAAGTGATTCTCACATACAGTTTTAAGATCTTAAAAGGAGGGTGTTCAGTGAATTTCTGATCTTTTGTCATGGACAAGGAACTCAAGCACTGCTCCATGAAGATTGCTGATTCATTTGTTCCTTGAGAGGTTAGTTAAAATTAAGCCAGTGAGTAAAAAACAAACAAAAAAATCCCAGCAATTCAGTTCTTATAACTACAGTGAATAGAAACAAACCTCACTCACTGTAACTCTTTTCTCTCTAGTGAGATAGAAGATGAAACTTTTTCCTTAGAGACATCTTAATTCCTCTCCCTGAAAGTGAAATAGATTATTCTGTGGTGAAATATGTATGGCAAACTTAGATAATTTAGGCCACAAAGTATACTACTTTTAATTAGCCAGGATTTTATATGAGTAATGAACTTTCCATTTCACCCTGAACATACCATCCTACATACATCTTAGTTATTTGTCACCTGCTATAATGTAAAGGAAAAATAATTTTTAACAAATAACCATTGGTTGACATTTAAGGCAATGTACCAAAGCCTAACTTTATTATGATGGTGCAATTTCTTTCTTAGTTCTGAGCACTAAATCATCATGCATGATTGAATTTTGCTAACCTGCATCTTCTCCCATTCTTAAGTATTTTCTGTGTGGGCTGTTCTTCCGAATAAGATTTACTTATTCATAAGATATGAGTAAAATGAAACAGCACCAGTGAGATAGACAAAACACACAGAAGCCTCTCCAGAGTCACTCTGAATTACCACTTGGCTCCTTTTCAATTTTTGGCATCAAATTTCCTCTTAGGGTATATAGCTTCCATCAGGAGGGCAAAGCACTGCTGACAACAAACAAAAATAAGCACTGCTAATTTGCACATATAAATAGTAAAGAAAAAAGAAAGAAAATGATACCCAGGAGAGGCGGGGACTTGTTTCTTCTCTGAAAAGCAAGAAACACCCATTTTTCTCCTGTGAAAGGCGACAGAAACACTCCAGACTAAGGAAGAGATGCTCTTGAAATGGCTCCTGCTGGGTCCCCGTGATTTTGGGTATAAATGGGACATGGAGCTGCACTGAATGTTTTATTTCTTCAGGGATTCATGAAGTAGTGAAGTCACCAGAGATACAGAGAAAAAAAAAAATCAATGTTAATTAAATGACAATCAGAGTTTGATAGGAAGATTACTTTTTTCAACTTAATGTTAAATACATAAGTATCTCAGGTACTCAGCTCTGGATGTAAGGTTACCCAGAACTTAAAAACGCTTGGCTGGGCAGAAGTAAAAGAACCAAGTTTTGTAAGTAAGGTGAGGAGGGACAATCAACTGGTTGGAAGAAAGCGCAGGAGAGAGCAAAGAGCATAGAAAAGTGTGTGTGCATAACATTTCCAAAACAGATAGCAAGTTGAGTGTGTGATTGAGGACAACACTGTACACTTTTTGTTTCTCTTCTGCTCACCAGTCAAGTAACCATGAGAGAGGCATTCTTCAGTCATCAAATTGGAAGAGTAGTTTCATTATCTGGCTCCACTTCCAGTGGGTGTTGAGACAAAATTAAGGTGGTTACTGATGGCACCCATAATTTTTTTCAGAGCATGGAAAAGACTGGACAAGAATAGACTAACAGGACCGTTTGCACTTAGAACACTGAAGCGGCTTCTCTATTTGATTTAGAACACCTTCTCTCGTCTTCCCTCTCTTCTCTTTAAGAAGCATAAAGTCATGTACTTCGTGCCAGGCACTGTTCTCAACTCTCATAGTTCCGTATTAACGCATTTCATCCAATAAAAGAAACTTACAAGGGTGTAACTACAATTCTCCCCATTTGACGGATGGGGAGCTGAGACATTAAGGAAAACAAAGCCACTTAGCTATTTAGTAGGGGAGGTGGAATCCTTTTACCCAGTCTGGTTCTAGAGTTTTAACCAATGTGCCGCTTCCCTTTCTTTCTTTGTAAATCTTTACCCCATTAAAAAAAAGGTTTAACTATGCAAAACAAGATGTAAACTATTGAGAGGGCTGGAAAGGGTTAACGCTGAAGCACTTCCGCGAGCTGGAAAAACAAAAACAAACGAGCCAGCGAAAGCCAGTTAAAGCCCCCATAGGAAATTCTGTGGGCCTCCAGTTTCTTTAAACTCTCGCTTTCGCTCCCGCAGACACTTTATAACAAAGCCGCCGCGGCCGGTCCGAGCCGCCGCGCGCTCCCTTCCTCCACCCGCCCCGCGGGCCTGGGGTCCGAAAGGGCTCCGCCGGGTCAGTAACCGAATTGGCTTAGGTTTGCTTTCTCCGCACCCCCCACCTCCGCCGCACACGCCCTCCCGGGAATGGCGAGCTGTAATTAACCCTTTAGAGCCCCGGAAGACCCCGTCGGCGGCGAGTGGCCCCCGGGTCGGCTGCTGGGCCGCAGAAGCTCCGCAGACGGGCGCGAGGGCCGCCCAGGGCCAGGTGGATGCCGGCGCTGCTGGCCCGCCGCCGGTGGGGGCGAGCCGAGTGCGGGGATGGCGCCCGAGCGGCGCCGAGGTGCCATCCGGCACTCCCCTCCTCGTTCGCCGTTCTCTCCTCCTCTCCCGGAGCTCCTGGCCGCCGAGCTGCCGGGGGCACGCCGGGCTGGAGTTTTCCTCTCACTCCCCCTAGCTTTCCTCCCCGGGTTTAATCTCTCGGCGTCTCCTCCGCCAGCCCCGAGGAAAGTGCAGCCATTGGACAGGTCGGCGCTAGCTGCCGGTTTCGGGGAGGAAGGTGGGAGACGCCGGGAGGGGCGAGGGGGAGGGAAGGGGAGGCGGGAGGAGGGTGCAGCGGCGGATCTGGCAAATTGCGAGCCGCCTTCCCTCCCCAAAGTGTGGAGCAGGAGCGCGGCGGCGGCGGCGCCTCCTCCGCCACCCAACTCCGGGGCTCGGGGCCACCTCCTCCTTCGCCAGGAGGAACCCTCTCCCAATAGGTTTCAGCCTGACTTTTTCCTCCCCGTTTCTTTCTTCTCCCGCCCCCCCCCCCTTCCCCAATACGTTTTTCTGCTTTCGGACCTCAGACTGCTGCAGCCTGAGCCTTCCCAAGGCTCAGCTCTTAGGGGCTTCTCATCCCTCCAGCTGCGGGCGAGGACGCGCGCCCTGCATCGGGCGAAGAAAAGAAGAAAAACTTGTCGGAGGGCTTTCGCCAGCCCGCTGTTAACCCCCTTCCCGCAAACCCAAGCCTCCTTAGAGGGGCCATCCCAAGACTGGGGAAAGTTCCTTCCGAGCCGACAGCCCTCTTGGATTTGGGAGGAGGCACCCGTGCTGGCTGTGGAATTAGATCTGTTTTGAACCCAGTGGAGCGCATCGCTGGGTCTCGGAAGTCACCGTCTGCGGGCACCGGGGTGGCGCTGCCTGTGCGGAACGGAGAGTTTGCCAGCCCCAGCTGCAAGTGGCCTCTCCTCTCCGCAGTTGTTGTTCTGTGTCTGGGGTGAGGACTGCGAGTGTTGTGGCAAGTTGTGAAGGGAGACCTGGAGGTCCGGAGAGGACTGCGCTCTGCTCGCACTCCCTTCTTCCTCGTCCCGGCTCCTGGGTGTGCAATCCCAGAGAAATTTACAAAGGCCTCTGCGCCCCTCCGAGACCGGTCCGCAGCATTCAGCCCCGCTGTCCCCATTCCTAGCGGGAGCCCCGGAGCAGCACAGGGCGCCGGGGAAGGACTGGCGGGGCGGGGGCGGTCGCGGCGGCGGCATGGCGAGGTTCCGGAGGGCCGACCTGGCTGCTGCAGGAGTTGTGTTACTTTGCCACTTTGTAATGGACCGGCTTCAGTTCGCTGAAGGGAAGCCTGGAAATCAAGTCAATGGTAAGATGCACTTTCGCTTGTTGGTTTCCTGCCCAGTCGGACCTCTCTGGTACCCAGTTCTCCACCCACCCCCACCCCATCTATCTGCCCTTGGCAAAGTTATTGCAATTGCATTTCAAGTAAACTTGGGCTTCTCAGATGAGCAGAAGGTTGGCTGGATGAGTAGGGTGGTAGGGACTGAGGGTTTTCTTAAGGATTTACCACTCGCTTCACCTGAGCGGTAAGCAGGGGATGTACTGTCTTCTCCCGAGGCGTCCTGAGGGGGCTCGGGTGTTAGAGCAAACCTTCCCGCGGATACCTCCCCAGGAGCTGGCATCCTAGTCTGCGTCCTCCCGGGCTCCTCCTCCTTCCCTCCTCCTTGCCTCCTGCCGAGATAAACTAAGGGGGTGCATTGTGGCGGATGCGGTGGCAGCCGGGGATTGCAGCGCTCCCCTCTGCTGGAGAAAATTCCCTGTGGCCGCACCTTCCTCCCGCAGGCGGTCCCCACCTCTGCTCGCTCTTGCTGTATGGGGCTGAGCCGGCGCTGGAAGTGGGGCGGGGTGGGTGCGGCGGGACACCGGGGAGGGGAGGAGGTGGCAGAGGTGGGGGTGGACGCGCCTCTGGAGACCAACCACCCGCCCCATTGTCCTCCTCCGGCCGGTTTCGCGGACAGGCCTGAACGTGCAGCGGTTCCTGCGAGTGTTCTGGCACTGCCCCCGCGCGGAGCCCGGGAGCCCCGCACAGCCCAGAGGCGGCGCCCCCTGCTCGGGCGGCTGCGCCAGCCAGGTGCGCGTCCATCCCAGGACCGCGCCCCGGGGGTCGAGCGCTGAGCGGGCGATGCAGCCCTGGGCCGGGGGCCCGCCGACTTCTCCCGGCCAGGTTCTGCGGAGCGGAAGGTCCAGCTGCCTTCCGGGACCCTGTCCACCGTGAAGCGAGTGCCTGCTCCCCATTTCGCTCTCCCCACCCCACGAAGAAATGCATAGACTTTGAGGGGAGGTGAATGAGGAAAAAACACTTGAAGGGAAATAAACGCTAGCTGGTTAGGATAATCAAGGTTTTATTTTGTTGCTTTAATTCCGAGGAGGGGAAATAATAAGTGATTCCTCGGAAAGTATTCTGGCGTCCACAAATGTCAAACTTGCAAGTCGCAGAGGGAAATCTCGGGAGAGCACCTGGGGATTCCAGGTGAGGTGAATCTAGAAGGAAGTCCTTAAATGAAATTTTACCAACCTGAGACAGCCCGAAACACTGTCTGCTCCTGGTGAAAATTCTTACAGAGAAAACAGATTCTGACTGTGCTCCAATTTATCATCAAGGGGTGTGTGTTGGGGATGGGAGTGGGCAACAAGATACCGCTTTTAAAGCTGTGAATAAAACGCAAATTTCCTGGATGTCGGTTTGTTCTGCACAGAAGGACATAGGTTGTTCTTGACAAGGTGTTGTTTATATCAATACATCATACCTTCTGTTTATTTCTCTGATACATTTTATTGGTAAAAAATAATTAACTTTTACTTGTCTGGGAAACAGCACATTTATTTTAAAAAGGGTAACAGTAATTTTCATGGGCATATTCATGAAATAAATAAATGCTTAAAGAAAGCAATTTATTATATCCCAAAGGAGATTAGAGAGGGCTGTGTGCCAGAATGCATCCTAAGTTGTTTATTTGAAAACTACTTTGGCACTGAAAGTAAATAATGAATTTACAGTAAAAAATAAAATAAAAGGTCAACAAATTTTTTTTCTGAACATTTTCATTAATGTTACTAAGGAAAGAATAATATATATATGTAAGTTTACTAAGTTCTCAAATTGAGGGTAAAGTCCACTTCACTCTAAAATTGGTCATATAATTGAATGCTTCTGCTTTGGGGATTATAAAATACATATATTGCTCAACATAAATCTGCAGGTGTTGTAAACCAATATTTCTGATGGAAAACTAGAAGCCCATATATTTAGAGGCTTGAGTAAAAAGGAATAGTTTAAATTTCTTGGCAGTTTTTTAAAAGATATCAAATTGAAGTAGCTTCTTTCCCAGATATCAATCTCCATTACTTTCATGAAATCATCTTGGAATTAAATAGTTAGCATACTGTAAAATATAAAGTATAGCAATGAAATGGAAGAAAAAAATATAGTTTCCTTTGTAAAATAGACTAGCTAAAAGTTCAAAACACGAAATTTTTAAAATGTCCAACAGTCTTGGAATTTGGCATGTAGCAATCAGGATTTTTATTACAGACATTTTGACACAGGGGGGAGAAACCTGATTTCATAACAGGAACATTTTTATTATGCATTACTTTAGAAATGCTGCAGTTGACTTTGTTGCCACCAGAGGGCAAAGAAACTGCTAATTTCCTTCCCATTCTTTCCCAAACCTTGGATTAATGATCCTCGATATTTTGTTTTTCCTATGTGCAGTATTTGTTGATATTTCAGCTTGACATTTAAAAATGAATGGTGACTTAAAATAATGAGAGTTTATTTTATTTCCCAATTTCATTGAAATTAAATATTCATTTAACATTTATATAGTACTTCCTACATGTAGACTTATACTTTGAATACATTCTTGTGGTGTAATAAGTAGTGGAAAACTCCAAATGCTCTCTTCTTCATCACTGTTGGCAATTATTACCACATTATTGTGGAAGTCCCAAGAATATATTTGAAATAATCTCTCTTATGATTAAAAGTTCATTATTGTATAGTGAACTTTTTTGAAGATTGAATGTGTTGTATTGATACTTACATCTGAAAAGTATTTGCTCATACTAAATAGTACACCTCAACCAATATTTAGAGAAAAATAAGCTTAGAATAATGTTAAATTTTATAAGTCTCAAATCATTTCTGTATTGTTATACATTCATCTTTATATCCTGAACTGATTGTGAAAGTTTAGTAACAATGTCAAAGGAGATAGATGCATTAATCTTAAAGAATTCAAAAGTTTAAATCAGGAAAAAAGGTCTTAAAATATGTAGTTGTATTTTGGCCTCATTATTGCTCTTAGATGTGATTTAATGCAACAAATAAGTTCATTACCACTATAGATAAGAGCAATGATAATTTAGGGCACCAAGGAATTTTCACTTTTTAAACTTTTTAATATTGTTGTAGAGGCAAGTAGTTTATTTTTAGCAGATCATTTACATTTAGTTCTTTCTCTAGTTGGATGTTTTCCTATTATTTTCTGCTTTCATTAGAGTTAAAAAACTTAGTTTGAAATACTACTAATTTGTGGAGTTTTCTATGAGAGTAGTTCTGTTGAGATGTACTGTCACTATATATAGACATATCTGGAGCAAAAGATTATGACAGAGGGTTAATTCAAGTGAATATTCTCTATAAAATGGGCATGTGTCAGATTATTAGAAAATTTAAAAAAAATTTTTTTTACCAGTGACTCTGGATTACATATAAAACATTTTTAAAATATGGAATGTGAGAGTCTTTTTTCTTTAGAGGATAGATAGAAGTTGAAGCCTGAAGCTGGGTAAATTTGGAATGAGACATAACTAATCTAGAATATTCAGTTCAGAAGTAAGGTTTGAAATTCATGGATGTTTGCAAAGAGATTTGGAATCATTACAATTAGGACCATTTATACATTTCTTAAGTTTGATCTTTGGAAAGAGGTTCTTCTCAAGGAGAATGTGCTTGAGTAAAACTTAGGAGTGGAAAATACTAATTCACTCCCCACAGATTTCTTGTCTGTAAGAATCAGATACTTTCATGCAGAGATGTAGATACTGTGGGTTCTTTTCAATAGTTTTGGTCTCATTTTCTGCTTCCTAAAATGTATCTTCCCTTGTAGAAACAGTATGTTCACAGAGATGAATGAATTGATCAACCATGATTATGAGATTTAAAATCTCAAGTCAGTTTCCCACTACATGAATTATAGCCTCTGAATGAAACCAGTACACAGGAAAGCAGAGCTACGTGATGGAGAAACTTGAGTCCTGTTGACAATGTTTGTGCCCCTGGATCCAGCCATGCCTGAAGCTAGTGTATCCCCTGGACTTTTCAGTTATATGAGCCAATAAGTACCCTTCTTTGCTTAAAAAACAAACAAACAAACAAACACCCAAAACCAGGCTCTTCTGCATGGCCATTACCAGTAAATGGAAATGAATATACAATAGGCCTCAGAGAACATAGTTTAAAATGAGAGAAGATGATCCAAAGGTCTGTCATAATGGCCTTAAACCTTCTGTTAATAGAACTTTGAAAAAGTTCATCGCACTATCCTGCTACACTTCTGGGTTCTGACTATATTTTCTCTCATGTCCTTAATCTAATACCTTAAAGTACAGTGTGTACTCATAGTGTGTATGTATATATATATCTGTATGTATATGTGTGTGTGTATACATAATATGTATATATATAGCGGTGATGCACTATTTTCAGTGGAGGTGAACACTATTAAATAAGTTTAGTTCTTTTTGAAATTACTTTTGAACTGAATTGTGCTTAGGCCTCATTCCATTAACCTACACTGAAGGTGGCTTTAAAAACAGTCTCCTAAAACTCATTATTGGATTTCCCAAGTGGTGGAGTAGTGAAGAATCCACCTGCTAATGAAGGAGACGTAGGAGATGCAGGTTTGATCCCTGGGTGAGGAAGATCGCCTGGAGTAGGAAATGGCAACTCACTCCAGTATTCTTGCCTGGAAAATTCCATGTACAGAGGAGCTTGGCAGGCTACAGTCCATGGAGCCACAAAGAGTCAGACACAACTTAGCACAAAACTCGTTATGGTAGCTGTTACCTGGGAAGGTGGTTGGGTGTGTGGTGCGATGCTTTGCATGGTATTTGTTCCTCAAGTAAGAGAGAGAGAGGGGGAGGGAGGGAGGGAGGGAAAGAAGATTTTGTGTCTTAACAGTGATATAGTTCTTGTGAACTGGTTTGTTTGTATCCTTTGGATATTATGAATAGTGACCAGAAACATTACTTTAAAAAAATGAGGTTTTTTTGAAAGCTCAGAGCACAATTTGTGGCCCG